AATGAACTCTCCAGCTACAAGGGATGCAGAGTCAAGTAAACAAGCAACTGATTCTGCTATCTGCGCTTTCCTTTTAAAATCTAGTGTCTCCCCCTCCCATTTTACAGACGGACTTGAGTAGAAGATGCAACCTCTTGGAGAAAACAGGCTGAGGTCCTGAGGAAAGGGACTGCCCACAGGCGATCCCACAGTGGAGGTCTCCCTTTTTCATCAGCAAGCTCTGCCTTATGAAGCTGTCTCTTTGGCATGTAAATCCTACCCTTGGGGGCTGGCTCAAACCTCGGGGTTTTACCTAGAGAATTTCAGTTGTATTTTATTTCAGGAACTTAAGATGTTATCTAAGGTACTTTAACGTGGCTCATAATATCACCCTCCTTCCTCCTGCATAAACTGCACATTCTTTCCATTGTTAGCACTATTCATGGCACGGGCAGGGGCTCCTCGAGGCTGTGCTGGAATTATAGGCCACTTTGTTTGGAGAATAGCTCAGGAAGCTTGGCACCATTGATTTGCATCGGTGCCTCCGGAATAGCCTTTGCCTTCTCCTTAAAGATACTATCTAAACTGTGAAATTCATTAAATAGCCCCAGAAATGGATCAGGTTATTTAACACAACATCCCTAATGGTGCAATATCTCAGCTGTCTGCACTGATAGTGAACATTGTCTTGGATAGTGTTATCAGCCCAGGACACCCGCTATGAATATTGATCCCAAGCTTGTTACAGGCATCACTTGCCATCAGGACAGGTCAGGGTTGGAACCCACCTAGCATCAAAGCAATTTAAAGACAGCACTCAGGCAGAATGTTAATGCCCACACTGAAAACACACACACACACACACACACACACACAAACCCCAAGTCCATGTGCAGAGGGAAGCTGGCTTACTAGATATGGATATATGTATCACATAGGAACGTCTTGGGTATAAATACCCGAGTAAGGATGTTAAGGTGTCAAATGCATCGTCAAGTTGGACCCAAAAGGAGACCTCATTGCCACCTGGTCTTTTAAAAAGCAGGTGGCCAGAAAAAAATTCCCTAGGATTTTTCCTTCCATGCTCCCCCAAACTGAAGCATGTAAGGTGTAGGAGGCTTCTCTTTAAGTTGGATAAGCAAGACCGTTTCTATTCCTCCAAATTGAATGGGGGACACAGCACGGTATCCTGTGTGTCATCTGTTGCCTGAAGCCAAGTACTAAGAGTGAGAGTTCACGTAACCTTGCCATGCACTGAACACACAGGTCAGAACTACCAGAAAAATAGAGGGCAAGAAAAATTTAAAAATCATTAAGAGGAGTTCTTAAAAATTGACAGGTTAGGCTCGGCGCCTATGGCTCAAGTGGCTAAGGCACCAGCCACATACACCTAAGGTGGCAGGTTCGAATCCCCAGCCCGGGCCCGCCAAACAGCAATAATGGCTGCAACCAAAAAAAATGGCCAGGCGTTGTGGCAGGCGCCTGTTGTCCCAGCTGCTTGGGAGGCTAAGGCAGGAGACTCGCTTGAGCCCAGGAGTTGGAGGTTGCTGTGAGCGTGATGCCATGGCAGGGGGATAGCTTGAGGTTCCATCTCAAAAAAAAATTGACGGGTTAGGGCAGTGTCTGTGGCTCAGTGGATAGGGCAATGACCCCATATACCGAGGGTGGTGGGTTTGAACTCCGGCCCTGGCCAAACTGCAACAGCAACAAAAAATAGCTGGGCATGTGGTGGCGCCTGTGGTCCCAGTTACTCAGGAGGCTGAGGCAAAAGAATTGCCTAAGCTCAAGAGTTGGAGATTGCTGTGAGCTGTGATGCCACAGCGACATGGTGAGACTCTGTCTCAAAAAAAAAAAAATTGACAGGTTAGGGTGGTGCCCATAGGTCAGTGGGTAGGGTGCTGGCCACATACATCTAGGCTGGTGGTTTTGAACCCTGCTAAACAACAATAACAATTACAAATAAAAAAAAAAATAGGCTCGGCGCCTATAGCTCAACGGGCTAGGGCGCCAGCCACGTACACCTAAGGTGGCAGGTTCTAATCCCCAGCCCGGACCCGCCAAACAACAATGACGGCTGCAACCAAAAAATAGCCGGGCGTTGTGGCGGGCGCCTGTGGTCCCAGCTACTTGGGAGGCAGAGGCAGGAGACTCGCTTGAGCCCAGGAGTTGGAGGTTGCTGTGAGCTGTAATGCCACGGCACTCTACCCAGGGGGACAGCTTGAGGCTCTGTCTCAAAAAAAAAAAAAAAAAAACCTCTTCCGATCTAGCCAGGCATTGTGGTGGGTACCTGTAATCCCAGCTACTTGAGAGGCTGAGGCACTTAAGCCTAAGAGTTCGAGGTTGCTGTGACCTGTGATGCCACGGCACTCTACTAAGGGCACAGAGGGCATCACAGTAAGACTCTGTCTCAAAAAAAAAAAAATTGACAAGTTAAAAAATATGGTCTGCGTATGTTCTTGGCTTTCTCTCCAATTTGTTGCTTCTTCCTTTTGGGGGGGGGGCTTTCCTATATTTAACATCTGCAGACCTCAAAGGAAAGATGACTCACATCATTTAAACAAAAATTTTTGAGGTGATCTATAAAGTTCAATGAAAATATTCCAGGTTTGGGTTGCTTGTGGCTGTCTGGGCCTTCCTTGTGCCTCAGGTTTGAGGCATGGAGTGCCCTCTAGAATGCCAGCCTGCCATCCTGTGAAACGCATCTCAAGGCTTATTACAGGAGAAGGTAATAAGAGGGACCGTGGGAGGCCATAGATTTCCATGCCGAGCTATCTTACAGAAATCTATTCCCAGCTACCCTGAAGAACTAAGTACAAACAAATATAAACAGGGGTAGAAAAGGGTAAAAGGGACCAGGATGAATAGAGTGAGGGGGGAGAAAGAAAAAGGAAGGTTAAAAAAAAATCAAGTGAGAACTGGGTGAGAAAGTTGTCAAAACAGAAAACAAAGTACCCCATTTGTATTTCAGGGAGATTCTGTGATTTGGGGTCTAGGTTCCTTCCTGGGTGGCACCTGTTTGTGCCAGGGCCATCTTTCCTGGGTTTTCACATGGTATACATTCCCTTTGGAGGGAGGTGGGCCAGGGGGCTTGGGCAGGGCAGTTCCTTTCCTGAGCTTTCAAAGCACAATCCATCTTTACTTTAGGACTGGAGCTGGCTTGAATTTTGGCAGGGCTTTAAAGTCCTCAGGGAATATGGTAGCCACCACTGGGAGGGGCAGAAAGGTTTGAATGAGAAAAACTACAAGAGGCCTTCAAGGAGGCCTCTTCAGTAACAGATGGGATTAGCAGCCCCTTGCATTTTCCTGGGAAGGATGCTCCTCCTCTCCCTTCTCTCTACCTGCTCAGACAATATTAATTGCCAAGGCCTTGTTTGGAAACCCCATGGGGCTGGGAATAAAGGAACAGCAGACTTAAGAGGTGGTTGTGGGCTAGAAGTCTGGGAATTTGCTTAGTGCTCACAGGCTGCAAGGTGCTCTCCCACTGACAAGGGAGGAAATGTTAGGATGGGTGTGGTCAGTGGAATCTTCCCCACATCACTGATGTTTGCCATCCCCAGGGACTTGGCAGGGTGGATGGGAGCCATTTCAACTGTTTCTCTTCTATCACCTTAAATTCAAACCAGACAAGCATCTTTTAACCTTTTTCTTCTTAAGGTTAAAAGAAGAAAAAGGGCTGGGAGGGGATGGGGTCAGAGATGCAACCTGATTCCCAGAGACCTGATTTCTGTTGCAAATGATTGAATTTCTGTGAAGTGGCCTGACTTTAGGGCATCCAGGGTTGTGCCTGGGGTCACAGTAAACCAAGGTAGCCACCTTGAGCCATCTCACGTGGCTCTGGACCAGCACTGATGTTTCAAACGCATAGGGGCACAGTCATCTTTCTAAAACCATTGCTGGCCTCTGACTCAGCTTGAAAGAAAAGACTCCGGCTCGGTGCCTGTGGCTCAAGCGGCTAAGGCGCCAGCCACATACACCTAAGGTGGCCGGTTCGAATCCCCAGCCTGGGCCCGCCAAACAACAATGATGGCTGCAACCAAAAAATGGCCAGGCGTTGTGGCGGGCGCTACTTGGGAGGCTGAG